CTTATCAGTAAAGAATAAAAGAAAGTCATTGCAAATGTCCTTAGAGGATTCTAGACAGACAGTTGATGGAGCATTAAGAACAGAGTCAATGGTTCTAAATAGCATGCGTGGATTATGACAATTTGCTGATATTATGTTTGAGAGGTAAAGTCTTTTTGCATCCTTTACAGTATTTTGATATTGGCGCCAGCAGTCCTTTAAAATTTGATGTGACACCTGCAATTTGTCCTTCTTCCACTTGCGCTCCGCCCTGCGGCAGTCTTGTTTGGCGGCTCTGGTTGTGTCATTAAACCAGGGCTCAACTTTAGATCTGGGCTGCCTTGTTTTATATGGTGCTACAGAGTCCAATATGGTTTTGCAGGAGGAGTAAAACCATGAGCTTAGCGCCTCAGTGTCAGAGGGCACTTGGTCAGCAGCCAGACCCTGAAACGCAGCCGAAAACTTGCCAGCCGTGAGAGGGTTAAAACTCCGACAGCATCTGCGAGTGGGGGCTTTGACTTCTGGGCCTGGCATGTTGATATCGCAAGTCACGGTCATGTGATCCGAAAGTGCAATGTCACTGATCTCCAGGTTTGATACGGCTAACCCATGGGAGAAAACGAGGTCAAGAATGTGTCCATGTTCGTGTGTGGGAGCAGACACTGATTGTATCAAGTCAAAAGAGTCAACAATGTTTAAAAAGTCTTTCACCAGGGGCTTATCGGGGCAGCACACGTGAATATTAAAATCGCCGACGATAAGAACACGATCATAAGAAGACATTACGCTTGCTAAAAAATCTGAAAATTCGTCCAAAAAGTCTTTGTTGTATTTTGGGGGCCGGTAAATGACGGCCATCAAAACAGAGAGGGTGCGACCCACCTCGAATATGACTGACTCAAAGCTTGCAAAAGAGAAGGTCAATCGTCTACATTTGTATTTGTCCTTAAACATAACTGCTATGCCCCCACCTCGGCTTTTAGTACGAGGACAATTAAAAACATTGCACCCCGCGGGTAGGAGTTCAGTTAGAGCGCTTGACTCACCATCACGCAGCCATGTTTCCGTAATACAGAGGAAGTCCAGACAGCGAGAGTTGAAAAATTCCCGTAGAATAAATGTTTTGTTTGTCATTGATCTTGCATTGACCAAACCAATACGGGAGAAGGACGTAGCCGGAGCTGGTTGTATTCCAACGGGTTGTAGAGTCCTACAGAGGAGTTTGAGGTTCGGAAAGTTCACTCTGCGCCGTAGAATCCGAGGAAAGCAGTTTGGCTTTGACTCCCGGCCCTCGACCAGGCCAATGAGTGATGTTGCGCTGTGGGCAACAGGATCCCGGGAACGCCAGGACACAAAATATCCGCAGAGATTGTCCCGTGTTTGTTGGAGTTTGGTGATTTCCCCCGATCGTGCCAGACAAAGCTTCAGCCTCACCAGCTGTCCGCTGCGTCTGCCACGGCGGTGGCGAGACCGGCGTTGGCGACTTTTTCGCCGAGGAGTCGGAGAGGGACACCTGCACAGGTGAGCTGGAATTTCCCACGGGCAGCGGGGCAACGCTTTTCGTCCATCCGGGTTTGGCGGAGAAAGATTATATTGTAAGTCCAAAAGAGTTTGGCGGTCGTAGACCAGTAGAGACTCGATTTGTTGGGAGACAAGAGACAACACAAGCAAACATAACACCAACCAGACTGACAGAGGTAGACGGCCTGCCACACACACTGGCGCCATCTTTCAATCCATCTTTCAATCTTTCAATTTATCATTAGTCTTTCTCCCAAAAGCCTGTGCAACAGCTTTGAGCACATGTGCAGAGCAAATGTGAAGCACTGTAAACATTTGGATCTCTTTCCATGTCTTCACTTTTGAAGAAATAGCAAAGGCCCTATCCAAATAGCTTTCAATGCTCTCCTTGTTGAATGACAGAAGGACACTTTGGAGTCGTGCCCAGCTGTAGTCTGTTTCCAGCTGGTTCACTCTTACCTTTGTGTACTGTGACAGTTTTTTGAGAAACTGCATTAACCAGAATGTGATTTGTGGTATAGAGTGTTCGTTGGTCAGCATTTCACAGACTGGAGGGGAGGTATATTCTGACCACCACCAGGAAGCGTAAGAGAGTAGTAAAGTACACTTTTGGTCTGACCTGGGACTTTAAAACATTACCTGTAGCATCTAAGTACAGGGTCAGTGGAGTCTTCCATCTCAGGTGTTGCACTGTTATGCTTATTCCAGTTTCTGTATACATGTATACACCAAAGGGGGTCAACTTGTAAGTGCTATATGTAATCAGGCATCTTGTGGAAATGGAAGTAACATTCCTTCATGATCTTTTGAGTTTGGTACATCTCCATGAATACATCATCATGCACTCTTGTTGCTTTTCTAACCTCTGAATTATCACCTTAAGCAGATGTGGCCGTCGTGCCACCGTGGGTTTCTTGACAGAGTCTTTAGAGACCAGGTTTCGTTTGTTTAACAAGGTTTTATTTGGGAGCGTGTGTGCCACACGCACACACATTCACTCATACGCACGCACACTCACGCGCCCGCCCGGCTTGGGCTCGTTTGCTTTTAGGCAGTTGTCTGTCCGGTCCCAATCTGGTGGCTTGGGTCCTGCTCCAGCTCTCCTCTCCCCCCAGGTCCAGCACGCTACTCTTTTACAGAGGGGAGAGTGATTAGCCAACTGGTTCCAGGTGTGCTTAATCACCTGAGCCCTGCTCACCTGAGCCTTTCCCACACCTCCCCCCTGCAGCTGAGCACCACGCCCCCTCCACAGTAGATTTTTGTTTAAACTTTATGTTATGTTTCCTGAAATCAGTTCATCAACTGGTGTTTTATGGAGCTTACGATAGAACGCTCACTCCTTTATGTAGAGCTTTTGCAATTCTCCCTCTCCGGGTTTTTGCGGTTGGTCTAAATTTAGTCTTATTTGTCTTGTGACTGTTCCTGATAGCAGCACAGCGATCTTGACTTGGTTGTCTCCCACTGGCTCCCTTTTCTTTTTAAAAAAGTATTTCGCACTGCAGTACGGGAATATACAAACAGCACCTTTATACAAATAAGGAAGGTTCTGTAACTGTCGTAGAGAAAAATGTTTATTTCTTTATATTTTATATTG